TGACTTCGTCCTCTTCGATGCCTCAAAACATGATGGACCCCGGCCGCACTCAGACTATGTCTTCAATGTCCTCTGGTATGCAACGGCAACCACCGCCTCGTGCTCCCCCAGGACACTATGGGGACCCAGCAGCTGGCAGGACTCGGACAATGGATAGCAATAGCATGATGGGGAATGGCTACTATCCAAGCCAACGCTCAGCATCTGGTGGTCAGATGCCACCTCACTACATGCAGCAGCAGCAGCAGCAACATCATCAACCACGACGTCCGTATCCAGGCCCTGGAGGACCTCCACCTCCTCGAATGGAGCAAAGAGGTCCGCCGCCTCCGCAAGCTCCTGGTGCAAGGACTCCTGCCCAGCGATTCTATCAAGGAGGACCGGCACCTGCAATGAACAATGACCCTTATCGCTCGCAGTCACTCGCTTCTGCTCCTCGCCAGCCAATGTATCACCCTCCTCCCAGCGCCTATCAGCAAGCTCCAGCAAACCACCTTCGACAAGCCCCCTACGCGCAGCAGAACTCAGCGAGGACGACCGCTCAAGGGCGAGTTGTGCCAGAACGTCATGAAGACCGCACCATGTCGCTGACTGGTAATTACCAACCCCAGAGCATGGACGCCCACCAGACCATGAGTGGTCGAGTCATCCCTAACCGACGAGCACCTACCGAGCTGCCGGCCACCAACGGTTACCCTAATTCGATGCCTCACGCTCCAGGGGCACAGACCCGAACCTCTAGTATGGTTTCGTCCAATGGTGCTGGCGATCATGGTAGGACCATGTCGATGGCCTCTACCGTGGCACCAACCATCACCCCTTCTGAGTCTGATGCTTCTACTTTGGTTCAGCGACCAACCAGGAGCAAGTCGATCGAGAGCGAGCGCCCCCCAACTGCCACGAAGATTCGACCACCCCTCGTATATCCTGCCCTACTATCTCGAGTCGGAGAGTGCTTCCGTCGCAAGATTATTGTTGGTGACCGGACCAAGAACGAACTGACATACAAGAATGCTTTCAGCGGTTCTGAGGCTGTCGATGTCTTGTCATATATTATTAGGACTACTGATCGCAACCTTGCCCTCCTTCTTGGCCGAGCTCTGGATGCCCAGAAGTTTTTCCACGATGTCACTTACGAACACCGTCTGCGAGACTCCCAATCGGAAATGTACCAGTTCAGGGAGACATTAATGGATGAGCCAGAAGATAAGCCCGCAGTCAATGGTGTCTTTGTCCTGCTTTCCGAATGCTATTCTCCAACCTGTACCAGAGATCAACTTTGTTATTCAATTGCCTGCCCTCGACGATTGGAGCAAGTTTCGAGACTGAATCTTAAGATCAACCCTGGATTACGAAAGGAGGATGCTGTTAATGCTGTCGACGACGAGGCTGATCAGACAGACGAACAGAAACTCTGGATTAACTCCGTTCCAAAGGAGGTTGCTGAGAAGGTCGATGAGCGGGAGAAGAAGAGGCAGGAAGTTATTTCGGAGATCTGTTATACCGAGCGAGATTTCGTCAAGGATTTGGAATATTTACGAGACTTTTGGATTCTGCCTTTACGATCAAAGGCTTCGCCAGTTCCTGTTCAGCGTCGCGAAAAGGTTGTCAAGACCATTTTCAGCAACATTATCGACCATCCCAGTATTCATACCGTCAGCTCCCGGTTTGCGTCTGGACTCACGACTCGACAACAAAAGGAACCTATTGTCCATAATATAGGTGACATTTTCCTTGAGTATGTCCCTCAGTTCGAGCCCTTTATTCTGTACGGTTCGAAGCAGCTGGAAGGAAAGTTTGAATTCGAGAACGAGAGATCAGTCAACCCTTACTTCGGCAAGTTTGTGGACGAGATTGAAAGGCGCAAGGAGTCGAGAAAACTGGAGTTGAATGGTTATTTGACCAAGCCTACGACCCGTCTGGCACGATACCCCTTACTCTTGGAGAACGTCTTGAAATACACGGAAGATGGCAACCCTGATAAAGAGGACATTCCTAAGGTTCTGGTCATGATTCGAGATATTCTCGGTAGAGTCAACGCAGAATCTGGAAAGGCTGAAAACCGATTTAACCTCAGGAGGCTTCATGAGCAGCTCCGTTTCAGACCTAATGAGAGGGTTGATCTTCGACTCACAGAAGAGGGACGTGAAATGGTCTTCAAATGCCAGTTCAAGAAGTCGCCCACGGATCCTGCAGAAATCACGGCCTTCCTCTTTGATCACGCCGTTCTTCTTGTTCGCATCAAGCAGACTGGCAAAACTGAAGAGATTAAGGCATATCGACGACCCATTCCTCTGGAGCTTCTCGCAATCAGGGAAATGGACGAGGTGATTCCCAAGGACGGCAATATGAAGCGTACCTCGTCGAGCTTGATTCCTTCGATTCGGAACAACGCCAACGACCCAGCGAGAAAGGAAGGTTGGCCGATCACCTTCCGCCATCTGGGTAAAGCAGGTTACGAGCTGACGCTTTATGCGTCTAACCAAGCTGCTCGTCAAAAGTGGCTTGAATTTATTCATACTGCGCAGGAACGCCTTCGATCCCGTGCCGACTTCTTCAACACAACGGTCATCTCAAGCAAGTTCTTTGCTGGTACCAACCGTGTCAACTGTGTTACGCCATTTGGTAAGTCCTCTCTGCTTTTTCCGATTCGATCGCTAATATCATGACAGATGGTGGCCGTAAGCTCTTGTACGGTACTGACAATGGTGTTTACCTGTCGGACCGCAAGGTGAAGGATCAAGTGCCCCGTAGGGTATTGGAGACTGCAAGCGTCACTCAGATTGATATTCTGGAAGAGTACCAATTGCTCTTGGTCTTGTCTAACAAAACACTCCAGTCTTACCCAGTTTCTGCCCTCAACCCCGATGAGCCCGCACTGTCTAGGAGGCCTAAAAAGATCCAGAACCATTGCAGTTTCTTCAAGACGGGCATCTGCTTGGGTAGACATCTGGTCTGTTGCGTCAAGTCATCTGCTCTATCTACTACGATCAAGGTCTTTGAGCCTAATGATGCCATGACCAAGGCCAAGAAGCAGAAGGGTATTGGTAAATTCATGAGCGGCGGTCATGATGAGCTCAAGCCATTCAAGGAGTTCTACATTCCCACCGAATCTTCGTCCGTTCACTTCCTCAAGTCCAAACTCTGCGTTGCCTGCGCTCGAGGTTTCGAGGTCGTTTCCCTCGAAACGCTCGAAACACAATCATTGCTCGACCAGGCTGATACGTCACTTGACTTTGTGGCTCGCAAAGAAGGAGTTAGGCCAATCCACATTGAACGACTTAACGGAGAGTTCTTGCTTAACTATTCGGAATTCTCCTTCTTTGTTAACCGCAACGGCTGGAGGGCCCGGCCAGAGTGGCGAATTGACTGGGAGGGTACACCACAGAGCTTCGCACTCAGCTACCCCTGGATCCTTGCTTTCGAGCCAAACTTTATTGAGCTCCGGAACATGGAGAACGGTGCTGTGCACATTGTGCCTCGTAAAAACATTCGCATGCTTCATAGTAGTACGCATGAGGTAAGTTTGATCGCACAGAAAGCTATTTCTTTCCAGGATGCTAACATGATGTCAGATTCTATTTGCACACGAGGACGATAAGGGAGACGACGTTGTTGAGGCAATCGACTTTTGGAAGAGCAACCGCAAGTCGGAGCTGCTCGGTTCATAACAATAAATAAATACCGGACCCGGCATTGGGGGAGCGTTTCTTTTTCCTGGAAAGATTTTTTCTTCTTCTTGTATTACTTGGCGGCGCCCGGTTATTACGACATCGGCTATCCTTGGGCGTGAGATACTCGTAAGAGTATTGACGATTTTCGGCTTCTATGTGGTAATCCTTTTATTTGGGAAGACACAAACTTTTGGGCCGCACTTCGAACCGCTCACTGGATTTGGTTGTAGTGCTCCTGACTATGTAAATCGGCAAGTCAGCACATGATGAGCCTTGATGCCGGCTGAACCAGAGCAAAGCATCACCTCAATGGCGTCGCTAAGATGTTTGAAATATAGGAGCTGCAGATACGGAGATGGGGGACCATGACCAGCAGGATGTAGGATGGGACAAGATAAGATGACGAGATGGAAAAGAGAAAGACGATATATCGTAGCCTGTACTCTGGAAGGATGAGCGATGTTTGGCATGGCATACTGTTGCATTCCATGGCATGAAATATTTTGGAGCAGCTTGGAGCGATTTAAGAGTGAGGGAGCGTCGTGAAATAATGGCCTGGACAGAACAAGAAGGGAAGGGAAGGGAAGGACTGGGCTCTACGGTACTATAGTAGTTGAGTTTACAATTTCGATTGTAGTAATTGGAGATATCCTCATCGACTTTCATTATCTGCTGTTACTTACTTATTCACTTCTCACTCACTCAATCTGTATGTCTACGAGAGGTACCTACTTAAGCACCTAAGTACTCCGTAAGGTAAGTAGGTACTTGGCCAAGTGTCGATGGCCCACTCACTATAAGAGAACCAATCCCCTCTCATGCGACCCTGACATTGGCGTATGCCATGTGGCAGTGTCTTCTGTGGCTCGCTTGTGGTAATGACTGTTTCATATGGGTATCATGGAAGGAAAATATGGAATGCTTTTTTGACCATTGGGCTCTTTCAGCATCTTGAGGCCTGATAAAATCTCCATTTTTCTCGTTTCTTCACCGAGTTTCTTTCGACTCGGGGTTACTTATTCTGTTGTTGACTCGCTTAAAGTTCTGAGGTCATGATTCGTCAGGTGCGCGAGCTACCTACTAACCTTAGTGCTACCTCGCTGTAGCCCAGTACCAGACCAGGCACTAACTCTATCGCTATCTCCAATTGCATGTGATTCATTGAATACTGACATCACCTCCATTTGGACAAGACCTTGGACTACGGATACCTTATCAACCTCTCTTGCTAGCTACATCGCTCATTGATCCTTGTACCTACAACAACAAAAACCTTGAGCTGGGATAGGCTTGTATCGCGACAATCCTCAGACAAAGATTGCCGCGATGGCTATTCCTTTCATCGGAAGGCTTCGCCCGTGAGTATCTCCCCTATTCGTCTTTGTCTTGGCCTGGAAGATCTGCGTGGGCTCATCCACACTCTCATCTTTACTATGCGCCGACTTTACTAACCTCTAATCCGAATAGCCACGAGTATCTAGCTCTCGTGGGATCATTTATTCTCGTCGGTCTCGAGGCAGTCATTCGAGTCTTGACTTTGGCTTTGCGTGAGTCGCAGACCCTTTCCGAGCGGTGTAGGGGTCATACTAACAACATCGCAGCCCCATTTCTTGTTACGCTTTTCTATAGAGCTTCAAGACGGCTCTTCAATAGGTTTTCTGCGCCTGCGAGGCGACGAGCGGAGAGTAAACGAAAAAGTTGGCTTTTTGGCTGTTTCTACTAGACTCGGACTAACATCGTATAGCGATATCCACCAAGGTACGAGACGCGCCTGACTTTGTTGAGTTGTGTCGCATTTGGGGCTACGAAGCAGAGGAACATATCGTCCAAACCAAGGATGGATATCTTTTAGGTCTTCATCGTCTGCAGTGGAGAAAGGGCGAAGAAGGTCAGAAGGTCAATTACGGCCCGACGAGTCTGAAAAAGAAGGTCATCTACATGCACCATGGCCTTCTTATGAACTCAGAGGTTTGGGTTGCTCTCACAGATGAGCAGAGATGTCTACCATTCGAGCTGGTTGAGAGAGGTTACGACGTCTGGGTAAGTTTGCCTTCATTGTTACGCAGCCCACGTCCATTGACTGACACCTGCATAGTTTGGAAATAATCGGGGTAACAAGTACTCCAAAAAGTCAATCAATCAGTCGCCCACCTCCAATGCCTTCTGGGACTTTTCCATCGATGAATTTGCCTTCCACGACATTCCAGATAGCATTAGCTATATCCTTGACACGACCCAGCAGGAGAGTCTCTCGTACATCGGCTTTTCGCAAGGTACAGCCCAGGCTTTCGCAAGCTTAGCCATCCATCCCAAGCTCAACAACCAGATCAATGTCTTCATCGCTCTCGCGCCTGCTATGGCGCCTGCCGGCTTATCTAGTGGAATTGTCGACGCGCTCGTAACAGCATCGCCTTCTGTTTTGTTCCTCTTGTTTGGTCGTCGTTCCATTCTCAGTTCCGCTACTATGTGGGAGACCATCTTGTACCCACCCATCTTCAGCAAGCTCATCGACATGGGACTTTCATTCTTGTTCAATTGGCAAACCCTCAATATCTCCGCGAGTCAGAAATTGGCTGCTTACCCACATTTGTACTCTTTTACGAGCACCAAGAGTGTGGTTCACTGGTTCCAAATCATTCGAAACAAATCCTTCCAGATGTATGACGATGACGTTCACCAGCCAATCAGTGTCACTTCAAGCAGCAAATACTCTAAGGTTGCCAAGTACCCGACTCGAAACATCAAAACACCAATCGTTCTGGTTTACGGCGGCAGCGATTCCCTGGTGGATATCAAGGTTATGCTCAAGGAACTACCACCTCAAACTGTGGCAACTGAGATTCCTCACTATGAACATCTTGACTTCCTCTGGGCCCGGGATGTCGATACCCAGGTTTTCCAGCACGTGTTCGATGCGCTTGATAGCTTCACCGATGCCGAGCATACAAAGGAGGAATATGATCGTTACTTTGTCAGTCGGCAGGAGAGTCTTCTAGGATCAGGTTATGCGTTTGGGCATTCTTACCATGGCAGCGAGAGCGAGTCTTCGACACTTACACCAAGTCTTGAGGGAGCCAATGGCGTCCAACTTACGCCCCAACCTCAGCCACACCGAGCACGAGAGCAGGCGTCTGGAATTCCTTCTCCGAAGAACACGACGAGACACAGAGTGAAATACTCCGGCGAAATACCTGCAGGCGACCGACCAGCCACCCCTGAGCTTTTTAAGAGTGCTGCGGGAAGAGACTCACCTGAAAGTGGATTGGATTCCCCGGTGGCGGCCAGGGTAAAAGCTGGTGTCAAGCGCAGTGGGAGTGTCGGGAGCAATATCAGCCTGGATATGCGAGAGGGTCGTGGTATCAGTGTCGGTGCGAGTAAGGCTGCTGGTGGCATTGTGACGAAGAGCGGCGCTAGCGGAACTAACGTGGAGGAGAGTCCTAGAAGGGACAGCTCTGCAGAAAAGAAAAAGAAGTAGGTGGCTAAGTGGAAGCGCAATGGAGGAAGAGTTGGATTCAGTCATGTCTTCGATCGACGATTCAGAAATAATGCTTATTCTTTTTATTTGTTACAGGAGGGACAGCGATACATCCCGAGCAGTACACGCACGTTACAATTTATTGGGTTTGAGAGAGCCCAGCTTTTCGCTATATACGTAGTGCAGACTTGCACAGATCAAGTTGCCGGGAACCACGATAGAATGCAAGATAAGAAAAGTCAGAGAGGACCCTCTTCTATGCTACACTGGTCGCTTTCCGCTCTAAAGAGGCGCAGCAATGAGAGTGTGACTTTCATTTGATAGGTAGTCAAAACAGGATGATGGCGCGAGGAAGTGTGAGTGGGCCGGACCATCTGCAAGGCTCCTTTGATCCTTCAACTGTATTATTGAGGCTGAACTGAAGCAACCAATACTATCTTTTGATAGGACTATCTTTCAATATATCCACAATCAAAACGGCAATGCATGTTGTTTTTCGGCCACCAAGGGCCGACGGGATGATAGAATATGTCAGAGACTAGCCGCAAACTTCGCGAAACACGAAATACGACGGAGGTGAACTCCGATATCATACTTGGATCCTGTACCTACTTCTCTAGCTTTGACTTGCATACCTTTCTTATAGAGTGTAAATATTTCAAGATTGTTTATGTATGGGCAGAGTGGAGGGCCACTTGCATTGAAGCTGAAGTACGGGAGGGGGTTACATAACGAACAGTCATATATATATATATATATCGGGCTACCCGTCTTTTCATTCTTGTCCTTTGAATACTGGGCATAATTACTCATATTTGACCTGCTTTCGCTTCCTCATTATGCAGCCAACCTCCCCTGTTTCCCTTAACGGGACACAAGCTCCTGACATGCCCTTCTTTTGTCTTCAAAATCCCGAAGCTGGATCGTGTGTCGATGATACGGGCTACTACCTCTATCGCATCGATCTTGCACCAAATGCTGCATTTCTTGCGATGTTCACAGTTTCATTGATCGGCTTCATTGTCACTTGGGTTTTCACTCGCAGAGGTACAGCTTTCAATGTTGCCATGATCCTAGGTCTTCTGTGCGAGATCATTGGATACAGTGGACGCATCGCGAGTTGGTACAATCGCTTCGATATGAATGCCTTTCTTACTCAGATTTGTTGCTTGACCATGGGACCAGCCTTCATGGCTGCGAGTATCTATCTTTGCCTACGCAGGATTGTGTCAGCTTTTGGACCAGAGAACTCACGGTTACCTCCCGAATACTATACTAGACTTGTAAGCCATTGCCTTGTGGATATGACTCAAACTTGCATTCTAATATACCGACTCTTTAGTTCATCCCTTGCGATGTTGTCTCTCTAGTCCTTCAAGCCCTTGGGGGTGGTATGGCCTCCGTTGCTTCTCAACAGTACAAAAGCGCAGACCTAGGCACAAATATCATGATAGCAGGACTCGCCTTTCAAGTTGCGACGATTCTCGCCTTTATTGCTTGCTCAATTGACTTTGCCATTCGAGCTATTCGTCGTCAACGTGTCCTCGGTGAAGCAGCCTTTGACCAGCGCCCTGAAATCGTCAAAGTCCGCAATTCTCGACGGTTCAAAGCTTTTCTCTGCGCTCTATCACTCTCTGCAATTTGCGTTCTTTGGAGAAGTGCGTTTCGAGTTGCGGAATTATCTGAAGGCTGGAAAGGACCTCTCATGGGTCATCAGTATATGTTTGTTGGGTTTGAGGGGATCTTGATTGTTGTTGCCGTGGCCGTTCTCAATATCTTCCATCCCGCCTTGTGTATGAAGGAGCTCTTGGAGATGGATGGTGGTGGTCTCAAGGGTATTTGGGGCTTCCGCAAGCGCAAAAACAATGCCATGACTAGTGAAGAGTCTGTGGAGGATTCAGACCGAAAGACACCCACGAGCGAAGCTGTGGCAGTTTAGGCTTGGTCCAGTGCGTGTACGTTGGTGTATCAGAACAAACAATCACCAAGTTGTATGTAGGGAAGCCTGTAGGCATTGAGAGGATGGTATCAACGTTGAATGGACGTATTGTAGGTAGTGAACTATATGGATCCTATGGGTAGTCCCTGAGTGTCTCCGAGCAGTTTAGGAAGTATATTCCAGCTGCTTTCGAATGTTAGCCCGTGCCAAAAGCCACTTGTAGGTGTTTGACAGCATCTTCTATCATCCTATAACCCCTATCAATCACGCCATGGAGCGAAAGAATAGAATGTGTCCCGCCTTTCACCAGTAGCGTTTCCACGTCAACTCCCAGCCCCCTCAAATGCTCTCCAAAAGTTAGTGCCTCTGGTGCGAGAATATCCATCTCTGCAACAGCGATCCACGTCTTTGGAAGCTTGCTCAAGAGAGATTCGGGGGCAAGGTTAGGGCTTGCGTCCCATTGAGAGCGATGGTCATCACGAGTAAAGTAAAGCTTACGATAATACTCCATTCGTGCAGGTGTAAGCCAGGGTGCAGTCTCAGCATTGGGCCTCCATACCCCTTCAGCTGTGGCAGTATTGTCAACAACCGGTATGAATAAGACCAATGATATAGGAGGATGTGTAATAGTGTTTGGGAGTGATGGCTGAGCTGTCGGTAAAGGGACTTCTGGGTTCGATGCAGATAATGCAGCGACAATCGCCAGATTAGCACCAGCTGACGTTCCGCTGATGGAAATACGGGAAGTGTCTATGCTCTGTAGCTCAGTAGGACGAGATGCGACCCATCTTACGGCGTCAATCGCATCCTCGACTGCAGCTGGGAAAGGGGTTTCAGGGGCAAGCCCATAATCTACGCTGACGACTATACACCGCGCTCCTGGATTTTGTGTAAGCATCGTACGATCAGACACAATCAGAGAAACACATACTCTCACAAGCCCAGCAGCAAAGATCGGTGCCATTGTTGAGTCCCCCAACTGCCCAGGCACCACCATGAAACCAGACGAGGACAGGCCAGCCTCGGTCATCACATTGGCCTGTTGGTGTGTAAACTCTCACTCGGAATCTAGCAACGTCATGGTCGCCGATGCTCCCTACGGGAATAGGTTTTGTTCCTCCAGGAGGGAGAGAATGCTTCTTGGTACGGATTGAGCCGTCCCAGCTATTGATCTCGTCTCTTTCGATATACTGCAGATGCGCCTCATGATAGGCGACATATTGGGGATCTAGACTGTCACGAATGGCGGGATGGAGGGGCTGACAGATCTTGCGGTGTGTGTCACCTGTCATTGTAACGATTCATGGGTTTGGAGTAGGTTTCGAGGAGTTGTAGTGAATCAGATTGTGAGGTTGATTCAGTTGATTCAGAGGCGAGAGGTCAGAGGTGAAACCCCACGCTTCCTCCAACCCCCACTATTCAGAGGCCAGACCCGCATCTGAGACTTAAGCTTACATTTCGAAACACTTTCTGCGAGTTTTAGGGTCGGAAGTTATCATTACGGGTGTCCAAAGCACTTTCTCATATTCAAAAACTTAGAGATATTCTGAACATCGATTTAACAGCCTCACTGTAGCAAAACAAGGTGACCCCAGCTCCGTATCCGGGCTGCCCGAACGGTGCCGTAAATAGTGGGGCAGATGCCGAAGCCCGTCGCCGTAATTCATAAGGCTGTCCCGACTTTGGAGCTGATGAAGTTTGACTGAGCACGGTATAAAAGGATCAAGTAGTTTCCTGCGTAGAATACTACAGCAGTAAATTTCTATCAGTCCTTTCAGGCTTTACAACAACATATGTTACCATTGAGATGCAGTCAGCCTGACGGCTTCAAAGTCTCATAACCTGACAGTTAGTTGAGTTGTGTTACCTCATTCTCGGCTTGGCTTGGCTTGCTCATAGGCATGCGTAAAGTGTTTGGCAAGTCAGCCTGCAGATTCGGTAATTCTAACGGGTCTTACGGTGTGCCCAATTACTGCTGCCCATGGCTGTTTTCTTGGGCAAAGACACCGTCTATAAGTGGAGAGAAGATGTGTTAGTGAATGCCAAGCAGACTCAGCATGGGTGCTGTGGATTGAGCGAGATGAAGTTGGCTCGGTTGGGGGTAGGGTAGTTATCTGGATTTCCGAGGCGGGGAGTCAGCAGCCCAATTTTCAGGGTCCTTACATATGGTAAAATACTCCGGGTTTGTCCAGAACAGCTTGAGCTGTCTTGTAGGGCTGTGGCTTTAGGCGGCTGACATACTTCGTTCGGTCTGGCCGTAACACGTCGAGTCGACATGCCGAAACCTAGCACATGCAGTCAGATGAGTAGGACATTCATCATAGGAATGTCACCATAGATCAGCCCTATCGTTTTGTTGATGGGAGCAATGTCTTGGAATATTGCGATTGGGTGGGGGGGGGGGGGGGGGGTATAGAGTCATTCACATGTGTTTACCAGATTGAATCAAGGTTCACCAGCCGTTGCAGTTTTTATTAGGGACTCTCCGGTAGATCAAACTTAACAATAGACAAAGCATAAGGTAATTAATACAAAGAAAGAAAGATTCAGTTCCAACGGCCTGGGGCGAGTACAAACAAAGTACCTGGTAGTACTAGGCTGCTTCACAACTGACCGTATTGAATGTCGGATATCAGTCCCAAATTGAGATACGCATTCCTTGACCAATGATATTCCCGTACCGAGGTGAGAGTTGCTACATACAGTACTTGTCAATCAAAATACGAAGAGCCGGGAGACAATATCCTCATTATTGCGCCATCCGTGACGTGCGCTGAAAGTACCTAAGTTGGATCCCGCTAATCTGACAGCGAGGCCGCCCAGTAACTTTACGTCTAGGCACTAATGTATGTACTGAACCCCCCACATTAAACTTGAGACCCAATCCAATGGAACGCGATACAATCATGGCTCTTGAAATGTTGTCTTTTGCACCGCCGCGATCGAACAAGAATATTGTTTGTAACTTTTAATCCGTGCTCAGTAATTATCGAGGATGTAAAACATTCTCCGCCACGGACGCCAAAAACCCCAGGGCATGACCCAGAGCACGAGCCTGTGA